GGAGGTTGTCTCTCTAAGCTGCTTCCCCCCCCCCCCAAAGACACATGGCAAGAATTTGGCAATCATCTGGAGATGTTTTGCTGTTGCTTTCCCGTACTTTTGAATACTGCTTTCCCAAGGGCTGAGTTTGTCCTTCTAAAATTGGTTTTCGTAAAGCCTCTCATGGCTGGTTTTGCTGGGAGAGGAGGAGGAGGGTCTAGAGGCACAGCAAATCGATAGAAGAGCCCATGAGGCAGACGGCAGGATCTCACAAAAATGATTCACTGCTGCTGGATCTTGCCAAGTCTTGTTGCGAATGACACTTTGGGCTCTGCCTGGCAACTGTGGCTAGCAGGATCCTGGATCCGCAGGATTTCTCTCGCCCAGTTAAGCATTCCCGACTTTGGCCTTCGACTCGGAAGGTTCCAGAAACCCGAGTGACATCGGTCACAGCTAGCTCAGGGAATGGGTGCGAGAGGCGAACAGAAGGCCTTGGTTTTTTTAAAAAAGCAAAACCACATTGGAGGAGTCCTGGTAACACACTGCAAAGCAGGGGATGGTGTCGAAGGGAGAAAGCGGCTGCCAGCCGCCCACCCGGTTTGCAAAACGCCCCGGCTGCGGCAGACGGAGAGACATTGAAGGCGAGAAGATCCCCTGTTGTGAGTGAGAAATCTGGGGACGGGAGAGTACAGGACGAGACGTATCCAGGACTACATGTGCTCTCGTCTCCCTGCCACCCAGGAAGCCCCAGTGAGGTCATCAGAATGGTGCCAATTAGACGGATGCTGAAACGGTGCCACCTGTCAGCCCGCCCTCCCCAGCTACTGGGTGGGGCTGCTGAGACAGTCACGGAGGCCCCACAAACATTCTAACTGCTCAGAGTTACGGTGTCAACCGGCATCATTGGCACTTTTAATAGTAAACCGGAGCGCCTATCAGCAGCACAGCAAAACGGGACCACCTGCAGATGGGTTCAGGGTTTCTGCACAGTGTATGGTGGGCCGGGGGCAAGCATGCAGGCTGAAAAGGAAAAAAGGGAAAAGACAACCCCAAAGAGTCTGAAGGAAACTGAGCACGCTCACGGAATGTTGAGGCTGTCTGCTAATGGTGGGAGGAAACTGGAGTCCCTAACGGAACGGGACGTGGGGTACACGCTCCCAGGCCCCAGGCCCCCAAACTCTGGCATGCAACAGAGGGTGCGGGAAGATACCCTGATTGGTCCTCTAAAATATTAGCCAAACTCGGTTCAATTGGGCTTCATCCTGCAAGTCTGTTTGAGCTAGGATTGACTAAAGCTAAATCTATGGTAACCCAACGCCTAATAGATATAGAGGCTCAGACAGAAGAAGTGCTCTTACTCTCAAGATATGGAGTCTTAAAATCCTGGACAGGTTTTGCTCCCGCTCCATATCTTTCTAACATCACATACGACGGCTATAGATGGGCTTTCTCCAGAGCACGTTTTGATGCCCTACCCTCTAATCTGTTACGAGGAAGGTTTTTGCGTTGGCCTATCTCCCAAAGATGCTGCCCATGTACAAATTTTGATATAGAGTTGGTATCACATATTCTGTTACATTGTAATTTTTATGCTAGGGAGAGACAGCTGTTAATTTTCCCATTGTCCAAATTTAAACCCTTGGATGTCCAGTTGAAATTTGCAGAATTGAGGATTTTAATTTTTTTGCTGGAAGACCGGAAAAAGAGGATATCTTTAGCGGTGGCAAAATTTTGCTTCCTGGCCCTTAAAAAGAGGAAGCCTGTACCTTAGATAGCAAGTTGATGACAAATTAGCATTGTGTTGTATAGTTGTATTCGTTTTGTATACTGTATTCGTTTTAATGTTCGTTTATATGTCCATCTGAGCGTTGTGTTGTATAGTTTTAATGATATTCTGTATTCGTTTTAATGTTCGTTTATATATCCGAATTTTATGTATTTATAGTGTATCTTACACTATTATTCCTCTAGGTAATGTTTTATATTGGCTGGTCGCTTGACCGTATAAATAAACTTGAACTTGAGGGTGCGGGGAGGTGAACAGCCCCGGAGCGAAGGACTTTTTAGGGAGGGGGCCTGGGGGGCCCCGCCTGCTGATCCAATCAAAGGCTCCAGGGCAAGGGCTGCAGCGGCCGCAGCTTCCCTCCCCCTCCCCCCTCCCCTCCCGCAAGGGCAGGCCTTCCCCGTGGAGCATCCGGGTCCAGCTCCCTCCCTCCCGTAGGAGCCCCGGTGCCTCTTCCACTCTTGCACAGCACCGGGGGGCAACCTCTGGAATCACTGCCCTTGTCCTCCCTGCCAACAGGCTGGCCGGCAATCAGGGGGGGTTGGGGTAGGGGAGCCGAGGCTCAGGAAGGGGCCCCCTAAAAACGGCTAGGGGGCCAGGCCCAGTGGGCCCCGCGTTAGCTACGGGCCTGGAGGTGAACACCCTCTCCTCCTTGCCCAGCCCTGCTCATGGCAACAAACACACCGCCCCAAACCTCAGCAGTCGGTTCTCTGGGCCACAGGAAGGTCGCGGGGAGCCCTTGAGGTCAGCCCTCTCACGGCCGAGCCACACGTGACATTGGGGGGAGTTGTGGCCTTATCCTGACCAAGGCTCCCTGTAAGCTGTGGAGTCTTGTGAGCAAAAATTCTACTTTGTGAGCTACTGGCATTAAAAGTTGTGAGTGAGCGATTTGGCTATTGCATAAATCTGTTTGGTCCGCAGCCCTCCTTCCTGAGCCAAGACAAAAATGTGTGTGAGCCGGAGGCTAAAAAATGGCGAGCTAGCTCACACTAACTCTGCTTAGAGGGAAGACTGATCCTGCCATGGAGAGCCAGCTGCAGAGGAAGGAGTTTCCCTCCATTCCACCTCCCCCTCCTCCTGGTCAGATTCAGCAACAAAGCCAGAAGACAGAAGCAGCAGCGACCGGAGAGGTTTAGGGGAAATACCAGCAGGGGGATCCGACGGTAGAGGAGATCGTGAGAGGATCTGAGGGTCTGAAATCGGGGACAGTGGCTTTTCTTGTCTGCCTTTTTCTTTTTAAAAAATGGGTTTTCCATTGAAAGGTCTCCGTTAAAGATTTGCCAGGGTATTGCTGGTACAAAGTTAGAAGTGTGCATGCACGTAAAAGCTTCTACCCAGAATCAAACTTCGTTGGTCTGAAAGGTGCCCGTGGACTCAGACTTCGTTCTGTCGCTTCAGACCAACACGGCGACTCACCTGAAACTATTTTCAGGGAAGAAGGAGGAGGAGGAGAAGATGAAGACGAAGAAGAAGACGACGAAGAAGAAAAAGATGAAGATGAAGAAGAAGAAGAGGAGGAGATTGGATTTCTACCCCGCCCTTCACTACCCAGAGGAGTGTCAGAGCGGCTTACAAATCTCCTTTCCCTTCCCCTCCCCACAACAGACACCTGGTGAGGTGGGTGGGGCTGAGAGAGCTCTCCCGAGGACTGCTCATGAGAGAACAAGAGTGTGAAAGGACTTGTGGCTGACCCAAGGTCACACCCACAGCTGCATGTGGAGGAGGAGAAGGGAATTAAACCCAGTTCTCCCAGATCAGAGTCCGCACTCTTAACCGCTACACCAAACTGGCTCTCAACTCAGACTCTACCGCAGCTGAACTGAACACTGGAGAGCCAGCGTGGTGTAGCGGTTAAGAGCCGGGGCCCTCTCATCTAGAAAACCCGGAGGTTTGATTCCTCACTCCTCCTCCGCATGAAGCCTTCTTCTTGTACGAACCTTCATGGCAGCTGTTTCAGATGGAGCATGTGCCTATGCATGAGTGTGTGCGTTTATAAAAAGACAGAAAGGGGAGAGAGAGATGACAGCGCTGGCCGAGCTCTCTAGAAAAAAGAAGAAGAAGAGAAGAGATTGGATTTATACCCCGCCCTTCACTTGGAGTCTCAGAGCGGCTTACAAACTCCTTTCCCTTCCCCTCCCCACAACAGACACCCTGGCAGTGTTCCCTCTAAGCTAAGTCAGTGTGAGCTAGTTCAGTTTTTTAGCCTCCAGCTCACACATTTCTGTCTTAGCTCAGGGAGGATGGGGCTCCAGAGCAAACTCATTTATGCAGCAGCCAAATCGCTCACTCACAACTTTAAGGCCAGCAGCTCACAAAGCAGAATTTTTGCTCACAAGACTCCACAGCTGAGAGGGAGCATCGCTCACGAGGTGCCTGTTGTGGGGAGAGGAAGGGAAGGCGATTACAAGCCGCTTTGAGACTCCTTACGGTAGAGGAAAGTGGTGTCTAAAAACCCTTCTCTTCTTCTGGGGCATTTTTATTTATTTATTTATTTATTTTAAAATTTATATCCCGCCCTCCCCGAAGGCTCAGGGTGGCTCACAAGGGGCATAAATGCCGAAGTTAAAACAATAAAACAATACAAAACAGCATAAAATACAATAAATACAATTCACTAAAAATTCCTTCCACGGTGCTCCAAGAATATTTAACTATAGGTTCAAGATGGGGTTCCAAGATAACTTATGCTAAACAACAACAGTGATGCATCCCTACAGCGCTGCCATATGCCAGGAACGTCTCACGCCCCCTTGTCCGCTCCAAAGCGGGCATCTGAAGCACAATGTTAAAATCTGGCCCCGTACGGTAAGAAAGCAGGGGGAAGAAGACCTACTGATTCTGTATGCCTCCCCCCCCCCAATGCCCACCCCATATAATGCCTCTCTAGCCCCCCAACCTCCAGAGTTTTTTCTTTCCCTCGCTTACCGAATTTCCCGGTGGACAGCCAGCCGGTGATGGCCACCGTGATGTGCAGCTGCTTCCCTTCTGTTAATGGGAGGAACTCAAACTCCTCAATCGCCCCCACGCGCTTCTTCATCTTGTACCCTGAAGGGAGGGGGAAAAAACCAAACTGGGCCCGGAATCCAGGTGTTTCTAAGACATGCCAACCACCGTTCGCCAGCCAGAATCTTTCTTGGAAGAAAGACCATTTATGTATTTACTTATACCTCATTTTTCGCCCCAGTGGGTTACATCCCTCTCCTCTCCTCCATCCTATCCTCACAACAACCCTGTGAGGTAGGTTTGGTTGAGAGTGTGTGACTGGCCCAAGATCACTCAGCAAGCGCCCACGGCAGACTGGGGATTCAAACCCGGGTCTCCCAGATACTAGTCTGACACCCACAACCACACTACACCACCCTGGCTGTCATTTGGGACCTCAACCCCGACAAAGATGCCTGGGCAGCCCCAGAAGGAAAGCGACAATTCTGCGTCAGCGTCAAAGGAGGCAGGGGAGAATTCAGAGCCATTTTTAAGGGACAAACCAGCGTTGCGCCCTTCCTTCATAGACCTCAGACCAATAATAAGGTTTAGCTGCTTTCAGTTTTCCAAAACAGTGTGGTGTAGAGCTTAGAGTGCTGAACTAGGCCTCAGGAAACTCAGGTTCCAGTCTCTGTTCAGCTGTGAAGCTCATGGGGTGATGGTGACATTGATATTGGGGCACTCTTCCAGCGATCCATAAACATCCCCTCCATTTCGGACTGTTCTCCAATTTGGCTCCCTCTCCCATCTCTAGCCTCCGGGCACCCGTGCAGCTTGCCAAACCAGAGGGCTCTGCCGATTGTCTCGTGGGGCTACAAAGAGGCCTCTGAGGCATATACTTTAAGTCAACACGTCACCCCTCTGTCCAGAGTCACTGTGTGTCTAAAGACAGAATCCAACCGTGTTTCCGTCACCACTGGCCTGGGCTTTTTATCTTTGTTGACTGAGTGACTGTGGACACAGGAATCAGGCGTTCATTTTAAGCGTGTAGGATGGACGGTGGCCATGAGCGGTCAGGTCAAGGAACAAGTCTGGCTCACCCCCACACTTCCCCGGGATCACACAGCACCAGTCCCAGGTAACTCAGTCTTAGAAACGAAGGATGCCTCTATGGATGCATGAATATAATTTCCTGGTTATTATTTACTGTTTTTATACCCCAGTGGGTATTATATATTATTTACTGTTTTTATACCCCAGTGGGGACTCAGAGAGGCAGACATCGTCCCCCTTCCCTCCATTTTATCCTCAGAACAACCCTGCAAGGTAGGCCAAGAGTGTGTGAATGCGCCAGCCAGCTTCCATCACAGAGTGGGGATTCGAACCTGGAGCTTTTCTGGAGCCTGCTTCAGTGGGAAGGGCACGGTATAAATCAGATAGATAGATGATAGATAGATAGATAGATAGATAGATAGATAGATAGATAGATAGATGATAGGAACTCTCAGTCCGGGGCAAGGGGTGCTCTGTATTCTTGGTGCTTGGGGGGGGCAACAGTGGGAGGGCTCCTAGTGTCCTGGCCCCACTGCTGGACTTCCTGATGGCACCCGGTACTTCTGGCCACTGTGGGACACAGAGTGTTGGACTGGATGGGCCATTGGCCTGATCCAACATTGGCTTCTCTTATGTTCTTATATGGAGCAGAGGTCCATCAGTGGCTATTAGCCACAAGGTATAGATAGGGACTCTCAGGCTGGGGCAAGGGATGCTCTGTATTCTTGGTGCTTGGGGCGGGGGCAACAGTGGGAGGGCTTCTAGTGTCCTGGCCCCACTGCTGGACTTCCTGATGGCACCCGGTACTTCTGGCCACTGTGGGACATAGAGTGTTGGACAGGATGGGCCATTGGCCCGATCCAGCTGGCTCGTCTGTGTATGTTGTCTCACTCGTTTCCCAGGAAATTCTGCCCACGTCAGCCTCCTCCTTAACCTGCCCACGAGACAGAAGAACAGCCCAGAGTAGGTTTTTGATTAAAATTATGGACACCATCTGGAGAAATTAAGAATAACTGATTTGTTGATTTCAATCTGCCATTTTGTACTGTTTTTAACCTGCTGTAAATCGCCCAGAGCTTTGTGCCCTCAGGGATGGGGCGATCCAGAATTATTATTATTATTGTTGTGCTTGTCAATAATAATAATGATAATATAACGGGTTTCTGCCTTCCCAGCTGAGAAGCAAAACTGAAACGAGGATTTTCAAGTCCCCATGGAGGGGTGGCGAAATTTAGTCTCCTCGGCTCACAGCCTCCCTCTCTTCTCCCCGGCCCGTCCTTCCAGCACACAGCTCTGCCTGGCCCTGTCTCCAGAGACTCTGAGGCCGCCTCTTACCTGTGAGTCCTGCTCCTGCAGCGCCAAAGAGAGACGCCATGACAGCGATCCCAGCGACTGAGCCCAGGGCGGCCGCCCCAGCACTTCCGATAATGGCGGCTGCCCCGGCCGCCACCAGAGGGGCGGCAAGCCCCCCTGTCAGACCTAAAGGGGAAGAAGGCGTCTCAGTCTCCAGCCCAACTCTGACCCACAGGAACAGCAGTATGTCAGAGAGGCCTGGCCAGACCACACTCCCTCTAAGCTGTGGAGTCCTGTGAGCAGGGCTTTTTTTGTAGAAAAAGCCCAGCAGGAACTCATTAGCATAATAGGCCACACCCAACAGCAGAAACTCATTAGCATATTAGGCCACACCCCTGACAGCACAGCTCATTGATAATAATCATAATAATAACATGTTACCAGAAGTGTAGTCACCCAGCCACACCCACCTTTTGCTTGTTATTCTGTTGACCTTGTTTGTTGTCCAAACCCAGGGCCTTTTTGTAGCAGGAACTCCTTTGCATGTTAGGCCACACACCCC